CCCACCGGTTTAATGAATGTAAAATATGACGATATTGATCGGGTACAGCCATCGTGCCTTTCTCTTGTTGTAAAGCATTGCTTACCAGTCGATCGTAACTCTGATTCCAGCCCCTCTTTATGTGTAAAAATTTATGGATCGGCCACGATCGGAGTTTTTCCATAGCTTCGTGACGTAGCAGCTGTTATCCGGGCGCCTTGCAGTCAGTTTATTTGCGCATCTACCGGATCTCTAAATTAGAATTTTCGCTAATGATGATGCGCCCCCGCGCCTGATCGGCCAGGAGATCGAAACCTAGTAGCAGGCCACGATGTTCAGCTTCGTTTACTGTCAGGTATGTTGCGTATTTAACTGCGACATTCACGATCTTCTATTCCGGGAGTTTCCGCACTATTGCACTACACGCCCCGCCTTATCGTTTAGTTCGGGCCGATCCATCGAAACAAACCACCAAAAGACTTTCTCCCTCCTCCACCGTTGGTAGTGGCATACTTATGGTATGTTTCGGCTGTTTCCTCGGGGCGATCGCGATCAACATCTCGTCAACACCATCGCGCGGGGTAATGCTGGTGGCAAGCGTACCAAGTATTTCATCTTCTCCCTTTTCACACTTCTTGATCTCCAGCGTCCAATTTGATGACAACGCCGCCCTTTTCCCCAGCCTCCTTATGAGGCCTGGAGATTGTAATAACCAGGCCAACGTTAAATGACGTGTGAGTACCTTGATTTTTTGTGCAACCAACATAGTGTAGCCGATATCGAGGATGCGCAGCAGACCTGAAACCTATTTCTACACCATACCATAGTTAATCCTGTCAGGTTTTAGCATTCTGCTAGTGAACGTTAAAGGCTAGTATACTCCATCGTGTTCCTTTAGCAAAGCTGCAGATACTGCCCATTTGTTAGCATAGACCACGATCACTGGAAGGCGATCCAAATCATTATGTTAAAGATTTACAGTCTTAGCAATCTTATCCTTTAACATAGTGAATAAAATCATCGCCTCCTCCCATCGACTTCTGTCTGTGCAGGTAGGATCGCCCCCAGCAACTTCGGAAAGCGCTGGGTCCCCCATTCGTAACACTGTTACAATTCGGATCGCCCCAGCAACACCGGAAATCGTTGTACCGCCCCCTGTAACACTATTACGATTTGGATCGCGATCACCAAGACACTTCCTGTCGTCCGCTCTCTTTTCATTCCGTGTTGACGATTCTGCCTCATCCATACATCGAATTTCTTGGAAGTTTGCTTCGCGTAATTCGTAAGCACTGATGCTTATATCGCAAAGTCTTTAATAATTCGGCTATGGTAATTCAAACCTCCTAGAAACGACTACATCGACCGCAGCGTTTGAAGAAAATGAATGTTGACCAGCAAACCGAGATCCTTCAAGTGGGCTTCCAATTATCGATTGATTCTTTATGAACGAGATAGTCCACCTTGCGTCGTCCCCAAATACGTTTGGTCAGGCTGATCGACAAATTTCACCTATCGAATGCACGTAGCAATCTATCCACTCCTTTGTACATATTGGCCCACGATGTAGCTGGAATTAGTATGTAATCGATGTACGATCTTCGACGTAGCACAAATGGTATCCGACTGGTGTCCGGCTATCTTTCGGTGATCACGTCGATCTGTTTAAACGATTCCGTAGAGGAGGCGCCCGGAGCAGCACCTATCTCCATGTATTCATACAATGCATTGTCGATTAGGCGTTGGTAGTTTGTGGAGCGTTTGTTAACCTCAACGGCATCCGTAGCCATTCATACAAGCCTGACGGCGTAATGAATGTTGGAACTCTTCTTGCTCGTTCTGTCATCTCCACCACTCAAAATCCGCTTGTCATGTCCAGTGAGCATCACCACATCGCTTTGTCCATGTCTTGGAAAAGGTCATTAACCAGTGGCATTAGGTACAGCTTCAGCCTTGTCAACTGATTTGCCCGTCGATAGACGATGCACAATCGAATGTACTCGCCACGATGATCGGCGAGGCCCAAGGTGATGTGGAAGGTCGAATAATCTTGGCCGAGAGCAGTCCTTTAATTACATTTTCTAATTTTACGCGAAACTTGGGTATAACTGGCGTAATCTTTGCGCGATCGTGCTCGCTCCATTTACGTCAATATCACATATCGCCTCTCTCGAGGCTGGAGGGAGTGCGATTTCTTTGCCAATAAGAATGTGCTTGTTTTTTCTCCAGATCAGTTGTCGTGATCGATCTTGGTAATAAATCAGCGGTACATCAGGATCGCCTACCTGAATACCTTCAATCGCAACTTCGGCAGTGGGCGTAAAAAGGTTGGGTATTACCGCCATGTGCTGATCAACAGCCTCAGTGTAACGGGGCACCCTGAAGCTTGTACTGGTGACAGTACAAGCTACTTATTCTGATGACAGAATAAGGCGGTGCCTCGTAACTTCACGTACACTCGTACGTGCAGAGGAAGACGGTAAGAAGAAGCGAGTACTTGGTTAAAGTAAAAAGTAGAACTGTATTTAGTATAGTTAATGTCTGCAATAAATCACTATTTATCTTCATCTAACTATGTCTAAATACAAATGTGTAAATCAGTTATCTGCTCACCACTCATTGCGTGCGTCTGTCGTGGCGCGTCTTCGTTGGTTGATATAATGGCCTATATCAACCAATCAGGAACTACTCGTAAGTGCTACAGAATATTTGTCCTTATGACAATATTCTGAGAATATAACTCTTATAGTTATATTCTATTAACAATTTCTTATAAATTGTTATGTAACGATTCACCCCGTTACATCACCCCCCTTAACCATCAGTCACTTTAGTGACTGATTGACTAAATGGATACTCGTCCCAAATCATTTGGGACAGGGTTTGCACTTGTTGGTCCGCGTCCACTTTCCAACATTTCATCGCATGGTAAACAAGCCCATGCGATGCGCGAGCAAGGCCGCCGAGAGCGCGTCTGCACGTCTCTGTGCGGACACCGAAGCAGAAACAACAGCAACTGATGTCTCATCGGTTGCTGAATCGACTCAGCCTGTATCACTTGGTGATGCAGGCGCTGGTCATGAAGACACTCGTGTCTTCACAGAGTACAAGCTCGGTGTCTCGTACTCTCCTGATACGGATGACGGATCCGTATCGACGGCAATTGAATCCAAGCCGCCTGCCAAGCGTGGCATGGACGATGCTTTGCGTCGCAGCATCTTTGGTTCATCTGATGAGTCAGATGAACCATCGCCGAAGCGAAGGCGCTCGAGGTCGCGAGACTCGGGTGCTAATAGTGGTGTCGGTTCTCCTATGGACACCACTTCACAGCGAGGTGCCAGTACTTCTGTCGGCACGTCGCAGGAAGAGCGGGACCGCAATGTCTTGCGTCTCGCTCCAGAAAAGAAGGCATGGATGCCTCCTAAATCCGTCATGGATCACTTGTCGGCGACGACGATTGATCGTTATCGAACACGGTTGTTCGATTCGTCAAGGATCCATCACCTTGACCCCAGCGCGAAAAACTATCGCGCTGAACATGAATTCTTCATCGATGCTTTCTTTAGACATCGATGGTACAGTGGGAATCACAAACGTGATGGTCCCTCACTACTTCAGGCGTGGAACGCCTACATCCATAACCTCGAGGATGTAGGTCGTGACGCTTGGAACGACAAGCTTATCCAAGCTCGTGATAAGTTTGAAAAGAGAACCCCGACAGGTGCACGCTACAAGCTGCATCGTCTATCAAGGGAGAAAGGATTACCCTGCCTCTCTTGGGTAGACTCGTGCCCATGTTGTGTGAACAACTCTGCACGAGCACCTAAGGAGGCTTACCTCCTTACCAGCCCGTGGTGGCGCGTACGTGTCTCTACTGAGATGTACGAAGGGATTGACAACCTGAAATCTCTTTACGACCGTGCCGGGAAGACTTTCTCCGGCGGTCCTTCTGCGGCACAGGATGTGTCGCGTCGTACTGCTCGACCAGACCCAGTACGTCAACCATCAGTTGGGAGCGGGGCTCCCAAGAATCCCAGGACGGGGGATAGCCGCGCCACCGGACGAGGTAACTCGTCCGACGTCCGTTCACGTCGCGGTGGTTCAACAGCTGCTCAACTAGATAGCGCTGGCCACCGCGAGAGTCCTCTAATGGAGGTGGAGGAGGAGGAAAGACGCTCTCCACACGATCATGTGGATCGGTGTGTTCCCGAGAGCTTCTTTAATCGCGTAACGCAAGGGTTACGCAACGATCTCGAGCATGAGCGGAATAGGCGTCTCCAGATGGTGGACACTGCCTCGAAGCATCGAGCTGAGTTTGCCTTTGCTCAGCTTGAGAACGAGAGATCTCTGACATCTCTTCGTGACGAGCTAAGGGTAGCTCGTGGGATTGTTGATCGGTCTCGGGCTGAGATAACTGCTCTTCAGACCCTTGTTGATGCCCACCATCGGGAGCACAAGGCTCTCTGCGAGATGCTTGAGCGCAAGGGTGTTCTTCATCGGAAGAAGCAGCGTACTGATGGTACGGCTTAAGCCGACCAACGTAAAACGTGGGATGCGTTCGCATCTTACGTGGTAACTCGATCGTGTATGCATTGCCTAGGCGGTGCAATACACGAAATGGGCCAATGTACTTGGGTAGTAGTTTACTGCTACCCAAGTTAGTCACTACATGCTTTGGTAGATTAACCGTAGACAGTAGGACTAAGTCACCTTTATTAAATAAAAGAGTGTTTGCCCTTCCATTCTTGTCAGCGTTTTGCTTTTGCTTATCCACCGCTTCGGCGATGGAGTCTTGCACAAAACGGACTACCGTTTCACGAGCCAGTATGAACTCATCTGATGACTCGTTAGCTTCAGTGTGCTGTGAGCGCACTGCAGCGACAACAACCTTTTCTTCAGTGAGGGCTTCCGTACTCTCACTGGCATCATTGTCTTCAGTGAGGGCTTCCGCACTCTCACTGGCATCATGGTCTTCGATATCGATGTTATCGATATCGGCATCAAACGCAATGACCTCTTCGTCAGAGCGTGATGAGCGTGAACCAAATCGGTTTTTGCTCGCGCGAGTCCCCCCCCCTTAAACCAGAGTCACACTCTAGAAAGGTGGGTACACGCGGATGGCGCAAGCCATTCACGTAAAACGGTGTATGTGTCGTGGACGCATGCACCGAGTTGTTGATGGCAAACTCTACCATGGGCAAAAACTCACTCCAACTCTTAAAGGAGTGTACGTATCCTCGAAGTATCTCTTCAAGGACACGGTTGGCACGTTCAGTCTGACCATCTGACTCTGGATGATCAGATGTCGACATCTTCAAGCGCGTTCCGAGTGATTTGAACACGGAACGCCAGAAATCAGCAGTGAAGCGTGGATCTCTGTCTGATACGAGTTCACGGGGCAACCCATGAAGTCGGAAGATGGTGTCAATAAAGACACAAGCACAGCCACTTGCCGTGATTGTCTCTGGTACAGCCACGAGGTGTACCATTTTGCTGAATCTGTCAACAAATACGAGAATACCCGTATTCCCGCGTGCGTCTTTGGGTAACCCGAAGACAAAATCCATCGAGATGGATTCCCAGCACTCAGCCGGAACCGGTAGAGGCTGTGAAGGTGCACGCAGTGAAGGACTTGACTTCACTCGTTGACAGACTTCGCATGCGCGAACGTACTTGCGCACAAACTGATACTGGCGGGGCCAGTAAAAGTCTTGACTCACCGTGAGATATGTTTTCTCCCGGTCCCGATGTCCTCCTATAGGAGCATCGTGATATTCGAACATGATCCGCAAACGCAGATCAGTATCATCTGGAATGACAACGCGTGGTGTGTCACCTGTAACGGCTGTTTAATACAGTAAACCGTTGCGAGTAGTGTATCGATCTGATGCAGATCGATACGCATACGATAGCCGTTTCAACGATTCTCGAGATTGCAGGGAGAGATGTGTCAACAACTTCACTATCTCACCATCTTGGGCGTATGCCCGCCTCACATCATCATACAACGTTGTAGATGGGACTGAGGACGTCATAACCGCAACAGTGACTGTCTCACTGTTGGGTTTCGCGACTGTTTCAAAGTCGGGACGACGTGAGAGTGCATCAGCGACGACATTAAGTCGTCCTGGTTTGTACTCGACCGTAAAGTTGTATTCTGCAAAGAATGACAACCACCGCGCCATTCGTTGTGAAAGGTGCGGGCTGTTCACTGCCGTGCGTAAGGACGCATGGTCAGTGTAAACAATGAAGGGTCTATCTCCTAATAGATAGACTCTGAACTTCGCGAGCGCATACTTCATCGCAAAGAGTTCCTTGTCATGCACTGGATAGTTCCGCTCAGCTGGTTGCAGCTGACGCGACTGATAGCAGACGACGCGTTCAACGCCTTCAAGGTCGTACTGCATTAATGCACAGCCGATTGCGAAATCGCTGGCATCACAGACCACGTGAAATGGCCTGTCCTGATCGGCTATTGCTAGGACTGGGGATTGTATCAAGCTCTGCTTGATACCCTCAAAGGAGCGTTGACATTCAGCGTTCCATAACCACCTCTCGTTCTTTTTCAACAAACGAGAGAGGTGTACAGTCATCTCGGCGTAATTGCGTGAATACTTATGCAAATACGCCGCTAGCCCAACGAATTTTCGAAGACCTTTGCCATCAACCGGCACAGGCCAGTCGGTGATCGCCTTGATCTTTTCGGGATCAGGACGTTCACCGTTCTTACCAATGATGCACCCAAGAAGTGGTATTTCGCTTGCGGCAAATATACACTTCTTGAGGTTTGCATACAATTGATGCTTTCGCATGATTGTAAGAACTTGTCGGACGTGGTACCTGTGAACCTCAACGTCCGACTTCTCATCCATAGCTCGACTATGGATGAATACGTCATCGAAATAACTCGGCGCGAATTCTCGTACTGGTCTCAACAGATGTGATACACATCTGTTGAACGTGGCAGGGGCATTACTGAGCCCTTGTGGCATTACTAGCCATTCCCAGAGCATGCCGCTAGGCGTGCTAACTGCGGTATAGGGTATATCCCGTTCCCGCATAAGGATTTGATAGAAGCCATCCATCAAATCCATGGACGAAAAGATGGTACTCTTTGACATACCATCAATGATTACGTCCTTCCTCGGTATCGGCGTCTGAGCCGGTACCGTTGCAGCGTTCAATTTGTTGAACGCGTGCACTATCCGCCACCCTCCTGTTGCTTTTCGCACACAGAAGGTCGGAGAGCTATGTGGGGAAGTTGATTCCCTCACATGGCCCGCAGCTAAACGATCGGCAAAGAACTTGTCGATCGCAAGTACTTGTTCACGAGGCAGTGGCCACTGCTTCATGACACAGTACTTCGAGCCTGGTTTAAGCTCGACCTCGTGTCGAATACCTTTATCCTTCGGTCATTCGCACGGAACAGTTTCAGGGAATACATCCGTGAATTCAACCAAATCTTCATAGAGAGGATTTTTCTTGAGCGATTCCCATGATTGGGAGTCATATCGCTCAATTCGTGTCTTTTCATCTAGGACACTCTCGTCCATAGATGAACTACTGAGAACTCTCTCGTTCTCAGTGAACACTGTTGCTGACCTTATGTCGGTTGCACACTCGTCGTCAGCGACGAGTATGCAGATCTGCTTGACTTTGCCACTACGCAGATCACGCAAGAATCTTTTATGTTCGAGCGTTGGCAACTGAGTGATCTCCGAAGTTAACTTCGGAGGCGCAATCAGATCAAGTGTATAAGCGCCTACACTTGATCCGTTATTGACTATGACATTCAATGTCTCTGTCATTTCCTGGGGACTTATTCCCTCAGGCTTCGAAGGACTTATTCCTTCGTCTTCCCGGGGACTTATTCCCGCGGGTTTCGGGGAACTTATTTCCGCCGTATTTGTAATCTTGGGACTTATTCCCTTTACTTCCTCTAGCTGGGGTTGCGCAACCACAGCGAGATCCTCTACGAAAGACTCTCCAGTCGATCTAGGATTATCGTTTCGCTTAACCTGAGCGATCGATTGTTTCTCTTCTAGATGTTCCTCGCTAGGGATACATCTTTGTCCCAGTCCACCCGACTTATTCGAGTGGTGGACCTTCGGCGCAGCCTGTGTTTCCTCACAGCCGCCGGAACTTTGCTCCGAAGTGTAACCGTTTGGTACACTAAGGTTTTGTGCAGTCGTACTAACGACCGTACCACAAGTGAGGCCATCGCACTCACTCGTAGTACATCCACACGCTTGTGGACTCTCCAAAACGTTCATCAGATGGCCATCTGATGAACAAGCGGCAGGCATCGTTACTGTCCGATGTTGCCAGTTTACTCGTGGTTCGTACCTTCTGAGCCACGGTATTCCAAGGATGACATCAAATTTGTCATTCAAATCCAATACGATCAATTCATCGTCATATTGGGTATCTTCTAGCGTATAGTGGATCTTCACTATACGCTTCATGACGGTTACGGATGCGCCTGTCGCAAGACGTACCGTCATCCTCGTAGGAGGTGTATCACATTCACTGAAATTAAAGTGACCATCTTCTAGCGATTGGCGTTGCACAAAATTGTTGGACGCCCCACAATCGACTAGAGCTCGAAGGGATAACTTATTCGTCACTTCGAGTTTCAAGGTAATGAGTGAGACCTCATTACCTAGAGCAGCAACGCACAACGTTTGTGTGTTGGGAGCAACCTTCATCAAGAGGCCTACAAATTCTCTTGACGTTGCTGGATCAGTAGGGTGCTCCGCACCTACTGATCCTGTCCGTTTTTTGACGGTCCATTCCGTTGTTGCGTCTTTGCACCAACTGCGGACCCTCGTCCCTGCCCCTTTCTCATGGGTGGACGGTCACTACGCCCAGTGTCGCGAGACACTGGACGAGGGGCACTACACTCGTAAGCGTAGTGTCCTGTCTTTTGACATCTGTTGCATCTCTGCAACTTCTTGTAGCCTGTAGAGCGAGCCTTCTCGCTCTCTACATAACAGAGTTCCATCGGCTCTGGACCTCCGTTGTCATATCGTCTCGGTTGACGATATGATGTCGAGCTGGCGCGAGCCTGTCTCAGACTGAAGTCTTCCTGCTCCGCAATGGAAATGGCTTGTTCTAGTGAATCTAGTTCAAGCCGGAACAGGTGAGTCTTGACGGGACCATCCGCAAGACCCTGCATGAACACCGAAACCAACGTGTGTTCATCCACCGGATTGGAACTTATACAACTCGTGAGATGTCGTATATGTTGCGCGTAAGCGTGCACATCACGCTTACCCTGTTTGAGCTTCAAGAGTTCGGTTCGAGATTTGAACTCAGCTCTAGGCGGTTCAAACATTTGTCTGAGCCGCGACTTGAAGACTTCCAACGACCCAAACGCATATGGGTCGTGCAACTTGAGCCCCAGTGCCCAAGTCTTGGCACGTCCTGCCAGATTTGACTGGGCAAATGCAACTTGCATATCCCCGTCGTCGATGCGACGCGCCCTTATGGCGTCATCCAATTCGACGAACCATCTCAAGAGGGAGTCTTCTTCGACCCCCCTATACTTGGAGATGTCAATCTTCAAAGTCTCGGGTCGACGCGAGTGCATCGACCCACCAGCAGCAGCCTGCTGCTGTCTCAACAGTTCAAACTGTTGAGCACCCTGTTCTCTCAACAACTCTGCTTGTTGAGAACCTTGTTGGTGAAGCAAGGCTACTTTCTCGCGTTCTGCGTCAAGTTCATTTTGAATGAACTTGGCGATAGTAGCATGTTGGGCATCTCTATTGAGAGCCTCTAGCATGACGCTAACAGCATGGATGCCCATGGTTGAACCCATCCGTTCAACCGCATCCCATTCGACATCGCTCAAATGGGAGTAGCCGTCACGCGTAGCGTGAAAGCTTTGGTCATCTTCATCATCCAACATATTCATGTTGGATGTGAACGCGGTCCTTGGACGAACTACGAAGTGCTACCAGGTGTAACGGGGCACCCTGAAGCTTGTACTGGCGACAGTACAAGCTACTTATTCTGATGACAGAATAAGGCGGTGCCTCGTAACTTCACGTACACTCGTACGTGCAGAGGAAGACGGTAAGAAGAAGCGAGTACTTGGTTAAAGTAAAAAGTAGAACTGTATTTAGTATAGTTAATGTCTGCAATAAATCACTATTTATCTTCATCTAACTATGTCTAAATACAAATGTGTAAATCAGTTATCTGCTCACCACTCATTGCGTGCGTCTGTAGTGGCGCGTCTTCGTTGGTTGATATAATGGCCTATATCAACCAATCAGGAACTACTCGTAAGTGCTACAGAATATTTGTCCTTATGACAATATTCTGAGAACATAACTCTTATAGTTATATTCTATTAACAATTTCTTATAAATTGTTATGTAACGATTCACCCCGTTACACTCAGCGTACAACTCCCTACTTTCATACCTACAGATATAGACGTCCAATTACCTTGCGATCCGGTCATTACTCTTTTTTAGGCTCATCGTCGATCCTTACACCTGGTAAAGATCCAACCACTTACCTCGACTGATCCCCTGCCTTTTCGCTCGTCGTAAGTTCGTTAATCGTATGAACCACGGATCTGACACTCTTCGATCGGTGATCCTCATGTCGATCGTTTATTGCGTCATGCGATCCGTCATACGATCTATCGAAATCCCTGTCCTTTTTATTGCGACATCTGCCATTGGCCCCCGGGCGTTCGAATGCTTCCGCCCTTCTCCTCGATCGTTTTAACGACACGTGGCAGTGGTTCCACACGTAGAATCAAATTTTT